CATTTTTATTCACACTAATAATCGGTACACATCAGCCCATGTTCTTGAGCCTGTGTCAGGTTTTACTGACTCACATCCAGTGATTATTGACTGTGTGTCTCTGTGATTTCTGCTGGAAGGAAGAAAACTCTACAGACTGGTTGGTGTGAGCTTTGGACTCCTGTGTATCCTACAAGCTGCTCTCAACATTTCCCTGCACCTTGCTTTCTGTGAGTCAAGTTAAACCGTCTCTAATGCTTCCTCAGCCTTTATAAAACATAATGAACTATTTTATAAGAGCAGAAACAATGAACAATTGCTAATATATGAGAAATGACAATCACCTTATCTGAGGGCTACACACATGTTTTCATCTTCATACATTTTTAGTGTGTAAATTGATAAAAGATAACATACAGTAGCAATGCCTCATTAAAATTCAGTTTTTATCCAATTTCGTAATATCCTGTACAACTGACTCAACCCACTAATAAAGAATTTGTCAACATTCAGATAGAGACACATTTTTTAGAATCACGCACAATAACGAGGCAAAACATAAAAACAAAAAAAATTATGTGAATCTTTCAGGGGGAATTACAGTTTATTTCAATCTGAGCCCACTGGCCAACAATAGGCCAAAAGTGTTATTCTGGGTCTGGGTTTTGAGTTTGTGCTAGATTGATTGGATTGCTTCCAAGTCTCCTCCTGTCAACACGTGAAAGTGTTGGTTTCTCCCACTGTGGAAAGAATTGATGATCAAATGTAATTTTGATTCTGGTCTTTCAGACACTTCTGATAAAAAAAAAACATCAGCCTTTGAAGCCAGTTGTAAGAATCTGACTGGAGAGCCTGAAGACCCCCTGCCATAACCCTAGAAGGATTTATATCACCTATCTGATAATTCCAGATGTCCGTCTGTATGTGCAATGCATTTTTTGAAAGAAGTTTCATCTATCATCTATTTCAGGGGTCACCAACCTTTTTGAAACTGAGAGCTACTTAATGGGTACTGAGTCATACGAAGGGCTACCAGTTCGATACACTCTTCTGAAATAACAAATTAGCTCAGTTTGCCTTTAGTTATATATTATTATTAATGATAAATGATACTCATC